CCTTGACTAGCTCAAATACAAAGCCTTGTCACACTTAACAAAATAGTAAGTTAGGCTGAATAGTAAGTAAATTCAACTTACATGGTTTACCACCTTCCATAAAACATTCTCAAACGTTCGTTGTCTAGCCACAATGACTCTCTCTAATACCACTTGTCACGTTATTAGAGATTTCAATTCGTGAACGTGTGACCTTAGACGCTCTTTGATGCTACATGATTGATTATACGCCTAAATCAGCCTTAAACCATGCCTTATAAGCATGCAAACTCAACGAAGGCTGGAACCAAGCCCTCAAGGCTTTGATAGATGTAGAAGCATTAGAACAAATGTGGTCACTCAAGCCACCAAGGATAGATACTCGTGTAGAAGTGTAAACACCACGGGGCTACTCTTAGCCATCTAGAGGGGCAACGATACAAAGAAAAATTGGAACAATTGAAAGGGACAAGAGAATTAAAGTAAATGTCTAAGAACTTTATTACTCTCTCAAAGTGAGAATCAATGGAATACGATGATAGAAACGAGGAGTGGAGGCTTTCTATTTATACTTGAGCTCCATCACAATCAATGACCTAGATCTATTTACATCAATGGCTAAGATGAACCCAATTAATTATAAAATCCCCATATATAAGGAAAGTCGCCAATCATTCCATTATCTAATTACATCAATTAGCCTCATTCTTTCTTTGGATGGGTGTTCACACTTGATATGGTAAGAATCATCTACAATCTTCTCTGATTTGTTGTCTCTTTCCATATCTGTCAAACTTCTGTGAGCATCTTTCAATATGATGTCACTTTCCATATTTGTACTTGTAGTGTGAACAGACTCTCCAACATTCTCCTAATGATAGGCCAAATCTGGTGGTCTTAGCAAGCCGGATACTCCAAATTGAACCTCTTTGACAGTCTCTTGTGCCAATGTTCCGATCCTGATCTCGCAGACCGTGACAGTATCATAAATACCCCACAATTGTTACAACTTTGGATCCAACAATCAATAATATTATTTGGATATCATTTAAATTTGTTAAATTTATTAGACAAATATCTTTGGACATTTAATTATAATAATATCATTTTTATTTCTCTATTCAAATGATATTTGAATATCATTATTGATTATTATGACACCTTATTAATTTGACTTCAATTGTTGAAGTTAGTGTTTAATTAACGTTTATATTGATTTATTTTTACTTCAGTTTTAATATTTATGATTAGGATATATTTAATTCTCATCTGATTATGTTTTATTATGTTACTAAATTTATTATTATAATTATATTTGTATCACTTAAAAATAAAAAAAAATATTACACAAAACGTGCCCTAAAAAATTGTGGCGAAAAAATGTTTTTTTTTTTTAATTTTAATAACGAACTTGAAGAAACGAACCACTACTGGATTGGACCGAAATAATAAAGCCCATCCTCCACATCGGGTCTGCATAAAAAAATGCTTAAACCTCGGGGTCTGGCTTCAGCATCTTAAACCCTAGAAAAATCCATCGCCAAAGAAGCATTGCTCCGGTCCAGACAGCTTCAATGGCGTGGCTAATCCGACCCTTGAGAAGAATCCTTTCTTCTCCTTGCCTTAGAGCCGTACCCCTTCGTCAACATCCAGATCCCACCTCCTTTTTCAGCTCCAGAAGCATCTCCGGCATGCGAAACGCTGCTTTTCAAGACAAGATGTTGAGGCTCCTTCGCCAAGAAATCCAATACGAACACGAGCGGTCCGCTCCAAAACAGGTATTGTATCTGGGTTTTTCTTCTTTTTTAAATCATCGCTTCATTTTGGTCTTATTCCTTGTTTAAAACTGCACTTCGAAGTTTGATACTGAAAGAAAATGCCCTTGCTGTAAGGCTGTAAAAGATTTTCACTTCGTTATGAAGGAGCCTAAATTAATATATTCTGTTCTCTAACTTTTCATGGAAGCATTCAGTAGTTTAAATGGAAGCTTAGTAATAATAGTTTGTTGAATTGAGTGAACAGTATTTCTAAAAAGAACTTACATTTTGAGACCTTGTGGAATATATTGGTTGTTTTAAGTACGGTTGATTGGATGATAGTTGAATAATATTTTGTTTTCGACACGATATGTTGTAGTTCACGAAAACTGAACTAAATAAACACTTCTCATCCGGAATTCTGACCATAATTGCAGCCTATCAACAGATTCAATTCTTTTACAGTTGATGACCGACCGAGCGAGCAATGGATCAAATTGAAAAGAAAATTTGGGGAAAAAGAAGATATTACAATTGATGCAACCATGTTTGATGGGTCGGTTCCCGTATCTAGTTCAGATGAAACACAGGATAGCGAGCAGCTTCATATGACATTTATTGTCAATATCTCCAAGGGAGGTGATGGTAATATCTTGGAGATCGTGTGCTCAGCTTGGCCAGATACCATAGAGATAAAAAAAGTTTATGTTCGTGAGCATAATAGGAAACCTGGTTATCCTTACTTGGGTCCCGAGTTCGAGTATGTTAGTTTATTTGTTTGCTTTATTTGCTTCATTAGGCAGCTGAAAATCAAAAGGAAAATTAGACTTGGTTTGTCTTAAAACTGTCATACCTTTTGACAATCCTAATATGAATTATAAATCTTCTTTCCTTTTGCAGCATCTATCGGAGTTGTGTTTATTGGTTCGTATCTTACTTTCTTTTATGTTGTTATTGTGGTCATGACAGGGAGTTGGATGAAGAACTGCAGGACCCACTTTATGAATTCATGGAGGAAAGAAGTATAAATGATGAGCTTGCAATATTCTTGCACGAATACATGGGGAACAAATATAAAACCGAGTTCATTAGATGGTTGGAAACTGTCAAAACTTGTATCGAGAAGAAATAGAGAGATGCTTTTGCCATGTTCATGCCAACTTTTTGCTGTTTTAGTCAACAAAATCATTACTTGCTATTCCAATATTTGTCCGTGCCTACATCTCTAGAAGATTGTCATTGTGTAAATCTTGATTAGAGATGAAACTAGCTTTCTGTGATTACATTGATGCAAGCAAATATCAAGCCAGCCCTCGAAAAGCTGTAGAAACATGGTGACCATTAGATGGATGAAGTTACAGACAAAAGTTGTGATATTGCAAACATGGAAGTACTTTTGACTTGTGTGTAATTTTATAGTTATTTTACAAGAACCCGTTGCATATAATTTTTTCGTCTAAATCTTTTCACTTGGATTTGTGTTTGATTATTATTATTATTATGATAAAATATGTTGCATGGTTTTGAGTAGTGCTGACTTTCTTCCATGTATTAGAGATGAAATGAAAATGAAGTTAAAGAATATAGATGATAAGCCTCGGCCCTCGGAGTAAAGAAACATGAGATTTGCTTTTAATTGTTGAAAGATGCTGCTCAAGTGTTTTCACCTAAGTGATAGCACCACGTTTTTCATGCATCATTTTCAAACGACAGAATTTTCAAGCGTTTCTTAATTCAGAGGCAAAATTCAAAAAATAACAAAGGATAAAGCCAGTCCAACACCAAGATTTGACAGTCCATCTGATTTTCGCCACGTGGCTAGGAAAGATGGATCTTACACTTTCTCGATATATACACACATTTTGTAATTTTAATTAATCAAGTGAAGCTAAACCACTTGGTCAATTTATCAAAATCCATAATTAATGTGAGCTTGAGATCTTCCCATGACAATTAAACTGTCATTAACTGTCCTGGGGAAATCATGGTTTGCACAATAATAATTGATTAGACATTATTTGATATGATGACGTAGTCACTTAGGTGAGGAATCAAGGTAAATAAGATTTCAACCATCATTTTCATGTTGCGAAATGATGCCATTGGATTTGCACTTCATAACTAGATCTACATCCAACAAATTTAATAATCCATGTATAGCTTTTATTAATTATATGGGTGGAATTTAATAAATTAAAAATCTTAAATAATTTATATAAACAATTTTACATATTCTATTGTATTTTAATTAGAGTTGTTTTATCTAAAAAAATTCTATTTTTAGATAATGATTCTAATCGATTGTCGTCGATGGATTTTAAATTTGAATTTATCATTGTTTCTTTAATTGATTGATGCTCAATTCTTTTAGATACATAAATATGGTAGAATACTAATAAAATTATTTATTACCTTGCTTAGATTGCCTTATTTCAAGTCAATATTATAGTTATTATCCTAATCGCTTAAATAATATAAATTTTTCGTAACAATTTAAATTTGATTATATTAGATAGAGAGAATAATAGACATTTAAAATTTTGATAATCATGTTATTAATTTCTATTATGATTTTTTTAATATATATAATATCCTTTCCTTATATATCCCAAATATTAGATAAAAGAAATCCAATCCCTCCAATAGAGATGGTCTATTTTTTCAACTGCAGGAGGGTCAAATATATTGTCATTTGAGACAATGTTACACACAAAAACAATCTGAAATGACAACCTAAAAGTAATCCCACACGTAGTTTCTGTACTCAATGTTTTGGACCATTATGTTTCCCAATAATTCAATGACTTGATGATAGTTGATAGATTATGTATCTTGAATCCCTTTTTTTTCACTTGCTTTGAACTTTTTATTGCCTTACGGTTAATTATAGAATCGAACGTTTAAATTGGAATGAAAAATTAGATTGAAAAAATCATTTTATAATATAATTTTATAAATCTTTATTTGAATTAATCAAATAATAATACTATTAATCAAATAAGAATAAAATATATAGTAATTGGACGATTGGAGCATAGAAAAATTAGTGAAATGGAGTTGTCTAGCACATTAGAGCGCTTAAGGCAACATTGAAGTTTACAGTTCAAGCCTTCAATTTGAAGAATTGGGAAAGGTTTTTTTTTTATTATCAAATATTTCTTTTCCCAACTTTTAGAATTGCAAATAGCAAAATCAATCAAAGTACATAATGCATTTACAAAAAAATAATAAAAAGGAAGAATGAAACTAGACTATGTATATTGCTTAAAGCTTCAAAGCCAAGTCGAGGTTCAACTCATCTTTTTCACGGTTGAAATGGTTAACAGTATCCCACAAAAATCCAGCCATTCCCTCCGTCGGCGGACCGAACTTCCCTACACGGCCTTGGAATGTACCAGTGGCACTAATCCCCATTGAAAGATGGCGATCAACGGGGCGTCTAGACCATCCATTATGCCATGGAGCAAAAGTGGGCTTGTGGATCATGGAGTGCTCCCCAACTCCAAGTGGTTTATTCAAGGAACAATACAGAGGAAGAGAAGCCATGCTATAATGTTGACCGAAATCGCCACGGCCAATCCGCTGGCCTCGTTTGGCCAGTGTTCTTTCTCGTTTATGTGCATTTTGGTGGCCTCCCAGAGCCTGTGAACTGTAAAATTTTCTTTGGCAATAGTTACATGGAAATACTCTAGGCTCAGTTTCATTACCTTGGTCTTGATCATGATCAGAGGACGAGTCCACAACCTTGAAACAGTCTACGAAATTCAGCTCAGGCTTCGATTCTTGATTGGAGAGGCGCAGGTCCAATACGAGATCATCTTCTTTCTTGTCTTCTTTGGGGGTAGTATCCATGGAGGTTCTGGCGGTTGGTGTTGGGCCATTTGAGGCTGAAACGATGGCTGAAGTTTCAGAGAGACAAGGCTCAGATGGTATTTGAGGCTCCATTTTTGGGTGTTGAGAAATTAGTTTGTCGTGGGGTTGATGAGGGAAGGAAAGGATTTAATAGAAAGAGAGGAACTGTTGATGTTTTTTTTTTTTATGAAATGTTGATGTTTTTTACTTAATAATGCAACCGGACAATCCATATATATATATATATAAATGAATGGACAATTATTCATCTTAAAAAATTAATTTTTATATTTTATTAAGGTCAATTTTCGTTTCTTCAAATTTTATAATTTGTTTATCATTAAAATTTTATAACACAAAATTATACGTTTATTTTCATATGTGTATGATTTTATATAGGGTCATTATATTATAGTTACAAGGTCTTAATATGCTAAGAGAGAGAAAGAATGAAAGGGAAAGGGATAGGGAAAAGAGAAGAGAGAAGAGAGGTTAATTAATAAGATGTGTATTTTATCAAACATTTAAAACTTATGTTATAATTATTTGTAGAATAGTGTTAATATTTTTTTTAAAAAAATATGTGTTAATTTTATTTTTAGTATTGTGTTGGTTTTAGGTCCCTTACATGTAGCTGATTGGAACCGTAAGACACCTTCGGTCATTGATATGGTTCAGAAGAGGCACTTAATTGGTATTGATTTATAATCAATATTGATATGCATGGACGTAAAATTTAATATATTAAAATAAATTAATTTATAAATTTTTAAATTAAGACGAATTAATAAAATTTTAAGAAAAATAGATCATCAATAAAAGTATATAAAATATGTTGAAATTTAAAAATTTTAAAAGTAACAATGAGTCTTAATTATCCTTCATTCATTTGCGTCCACAGTCTATTTGAAACATGGGTGATTGAGTGTATGTTAGATTCCAGAATTTCAAGGTGTTAAGTGTCTTTGTCCACTTAAAATATTCTTCTATATATTTTTAAAATGTTTATATTACAATATAAATTTCCTGACTTTATTTCTATATATGTATTGAAAGTAAAGATGGACGAAGAGGAACACACTAGAGCTACTTCCAACCCGCACTAACTTCTTTTAAAATGGAAAACTCAACTTGCCTTTTAAAAATCAAAAGGAGAAAAAATCGACCCTTTGAGTTCGGCTAATAAACCATTTGACAGATATGACCAATATCGAGGAGCCGTACACAGCAGCTGTAAAATAATGCTGATTGGAGGTATTTTCCCGAAAAATTACCGGTGATCGGTATATTTATCGATCTAACACCGGTCAGATTATATTTTCTGATCTAATATCCGTAGCAGTAAAGCGCGCCCCCTGCACCGCGCTATACGCTGACATGGGTTACATGTGGTTATAGCGCGGCCTCTGATCCGTGCTATACGCCACGTAGGGGTATAGCGCGGATCAAGGGCTGCGCTATACCTGGTTATCTGACACGTGGGGTATACGCCACATTTCTTTATCGATGAGGCTGATGTAATCGTATCCTTCCTCGTTCTTCGCCCGTAAATCTTGAAGTATTGATTCAAACGTTCGAGAAAGTAGTTCGTAACATGATCAAAAAAATGTATAACTTACTAACTTGCTTTCTTTGCAAAATTAAAATGATCAAAAAATGTATAACTTACTAACTTGTTTTCACTTACCCATGCGCACAATTAATTGACGCTCATCATTCTTTTTGTACCTTTTATGATAGTTCGCAGCAATGTGTCGGAGACAATACCTATGTTGGACAAAGGGTGGTTGCCACATTGGACTCAAAGACTCCATTGATGCTTTGATCCCAGCTCTGCGATCTGAAATGACACAGATGTTTTCCCTCGTGATAACATGTGCACGTAAATTTCGGAGGAAAAAAGCCCAAGAATTTGTATCTTCTCATTCGACAAGAGAAAAAGCAACTGGAAGAATGTTGCGATTGCCATCTTGGACAACTGTCAATAATAAAACTTGCTTGTATTTTCCATACAAGAAAGTCCCGTCGATCTGGACCACAGGCTTGCAGTATTTGGCAGCATTAACGCACTGTGGGTAACTCCAAAAAACCCGGTAGAATTGACTTCGAACACGAAGAACTCGATCATTATGGTATGCATAGGAGGTTTTGAAGTCCACAATTGTCCCAGGATTCAATGTCCGCACCAGCCTAAACCAACCTGGAAGTTCGTTGTAAGATACATCACATTCGCCATGAAGTTTGACAATGGCATTTTGTTTTGCCAACCAAGTTTTTTTATAGGAGACATTGTACCCATACTGCGATTGTATAGTTGAAATCAACACTGCAACAACTATATGAGAGCTTGCTTTTACCATGGGCATGATGGCTTGGCATATCATTTCAGAGTCCAAGTTGGGATGATCTTGGTTGACCCCTCCAGCACAATATGTGTGAGGACCGTTGTATATTGTTAGTTCCCATATGTTGTTTATCCTCTTCATTATCGATACGCGAACCATCCAATTACATCCGTTTTCGCGTCGGGCACAGTAGCATACATATTTTTCGGTCGACGATCGGTTGACTCTGGACTGAACAGAATTACGGATATTGTAATTTTTGATAGCCATCATCGCTTCTTCTTTGCTTGAAAACTCCATGCCTAAAGATAACTCACCATTATTTATTGATGAGTAATATCCATAGTCACCGAGATGAGGCATATCCGCAAATTCTGGCCTGTACATTGCACCATAATCAGCTTCATACATGTGTGCAGGAGGGTCAGTTTGTGTCACATTTCCTGGAATTTCATCTACATCATCATCATCGGAGTTGAATTGCGGTGATTCTGGGTGAATGAATAGTCCAGTCTCAGCACCATCCACACCAGGCTCACGAAGCGGTTCTTCTGGTGGAGATGATGGTTCCTCCATGCGCTCCACATTTAGGTCGAAGAACCTACTACTTGCATGTCTTCCCCTTGAACTAGAAGGCATATCGACATTGAGATCGAAAAAGCTCGCAGTCGAATGCCTCCCCCTTGAGCTTGAAGCCATCGTGTCAAATGGAAACTGCACAGATTGTTGCGTCAATGGCATCTCCATATTAACGTCAAAGAAATTTGCAGATGAATGTCTTCCCCTTTAACTGGACGCGGTGTTGCCATACGGATTGTTGCGATAAAAGATATAGCGCGGACCAGGGACCGCGTTAAATATAATTACCCCTACGTGGCGTATAGCGCGACCCCCTGATCCGCGCTATACCCCTACGTGACGTATAGCGCAGATCAGGGGCCGCGCTATACACACGTGTAACCTATGTCAGCGTATAGCACGATACAGGGGGCGCGCTATACCTCACGTGGCGCCAAATCAGCATATAACGCGGTTCAAGGGGCGCGTTTTACTGCTACGGGTGTTAGATCGGAAAATATAATCTCACCGGTGTTAGATCGGTAATATACCAATCACCGGTAATTTTTCGGGAAAAACTCCCTGATTGGAGATGATATAAATATATATATATAACAAAAATGGGTAATTTACAACCATGTTTAATATCAACAAGGTAAACAGTTACAATTGCTTCATAATGATACACCTAATGTGGAAAAAAATGACACTTTTTGTTATTAATAAATAAATAGTATTGTTGAAAACATTTTGATATTTCGATATAACAAATTAAGTTAAATGAATTTTAAGATTTTCCAAAAAGATTTTCTAAGTATATTCGATATAATTATTCGAATATCAAAATATTACTCAAAGTATTTCAAAGTTCATTTTAAATCCTTACTCAAGTGTAAAATTAAGTTTTAATCTTAAAATAATTTCAAAACGATTTTACAAAATATTCCGAACCATTTCAAAGCCAAAAATTCCAGATTTCTCAAAGGGAACCGATTCCCCCCCAAGGGGGTACCGATTCCCCCTGAATGGTTTGGCTCCGAGAATTCCAGTATGCTCGGAGGGAACCGATTCCCCCCAGAGGGTACCGATTCCCCCCACTGTTCAAACGGTCGAAATATTTGAATTTTACACTTAGGGAACCGATTCCCCATTAGGGGTACCGATTCCACCCCACGCTCCAAGCAGAAATATTAATTGTTTTCACACTTAAACGGCTCCAAAAACTTCATTAATGATCCCCAACGTTCAGAAGTGATTCAATGTGTATTTAAGCAAGCTTAGAAGCCATTGATCAAAAATAAGAAACATCAAGCAACTAGAATCAAGAGAGAATCAAAGAGAAAGCATCAAACCTCAAGTTTGAGCATTTCAAGCCTATTTTTCATTCAATATTCATTTTGCTTTCAATAACACTTATTGTGCTCAATTGTATTCATTCTTGAGTGTTATTTTCTTTGTTCTAGAATTGTGCAAACAATCTAACTTGTGAGGATTTTCTTGTAAGTTTGCAAATTTGTATTGTTCTCTTTGGGAGAGAGTGTTCTCAAGAATTTGGGGTATAATTCTTGAGGGTTTGTAAGGTTATTCTAAATCATTGTGCAAATTTATTTAAATTTTCTGCAAAAGCTTCCACCAAAATTTTAATTGCCAATTCGCCCCCTCTTGGCCATATTCGTCAATCAATTAACTCAACAATTGGTATCAAAGCCTAACTCATTTGAAGGTTTAATCGCCTCTTGACTCGATTCAGGAAGAGTTACATCGATAATCAAAGTCATCAATAGCCTCTACTTCAAACTTCGACTCCGGTCTCGATTCGATGCCTGTCAACAAGCATCATTTCTTCAATGGGGCTAACTATGCCTATTGGAAAAATAGAATGATGTACTTCATTCAAGCAAGTGACATGGGAGCATGGAATTTCGTAGAAGAAGGATACTTCAAGCCTCTCACTCATCCAAGATTATGGAGTGAATGAGAGACAAAAATGTTCCAGCTCAACTCCAAAGCCATCCATATTATATTTTGTGCTCTTGGACCAGATGAATACGGAAGAGTTTCATCTTGTACAACCGCCAAAGAAATATGGGACAAACTTCAAGTCACTCATGAAGTTACCGATGAGGTAAAGAAATCTAAAATTAGTATTCTAACGCATAGCTATGAAAATTTCAGGATGAAACCAAATGAAGATATCAAAGCTATGACGGATAGATTCTCAACGATTGTCAATGGT